CCTATGGGCACCCGGGTTAAGATGTAATTTGCGCGAACAATTCCAGACTGGTCTGAGATTACCCCAGTCTGAATTTACCCTCCTACTTCCAGACTAATCTCTGACTGTGGCCGCGGCCGTCTCATTATCCAGTGCTACTGCGCATGCGTCACGCCTGCGCACGAGGTGCTGGGGGTAATCTCAGACCGTGACACTGGCGGCAAGTAGATACAATAATGTAACCCAACAAGAGTAGGGTTACAATGCGAGCCTATTCTTTTCTTTGGAGGCGCCCCTGAGTGATTCACTCAGGGTAGTTTATGGTGTGTTTTTCGAGACTAGAACTTGCAAACTGGGTTTATTCTAACCACGAACCTTTCTCCGCTATCCTGGGACTTACTATGTATCACAATACTCTGTATTAAACTAATAATATAACCTGTTACAAAATTTCGAAGTGACGAGCGGCGATATTTCGAGCGCCATTTCTGTTGACCTGTGACGTACGCATTCCCAATGCGCATAGCATTTGGCTAACTTTGGCTCCAAGATCGAATGTATCATGGGATGCCTGCTGTCAGTCATGACGTCATGACGAAGTTAGCCCAACGCTATGCGCATTGGGAATCTGTACGTCACAGGTCAACAGAAATGGCGCTCGAAGTATCACCGCTCATCGCTTCGAAAGTTTGTATCAGGTTATATTAGTTTAATACAGAGTATTATGATACATAGTAAGTCCCAGGATAGCGGAAAAGGTTCGTGTTTAGAATAAACCCAGTTTGGAAGTTCTAGTCTCGAAAAACGCACCATAAAACCGCCCTGAGTGAATCACCCAGGGGCTCCTCCAAAGAAAAGAATAGGCTCGCGTTGTAACCCTACTCTTGTTGGGTTACATTATTGTATCTAGGCGGCAAGTAGCTCTGCCTGCGGCCTGCGGCCTGCGGCAACTGTATGCGGGCTATAGTCCTAGAGCTAGGCGGCAAGCTGCTACAGACAGTGCTAACCGAGCACTACTCGATCGACTAGTCGCCACAGTGCTAGCAATTCTTGCATGAATGTAAAGTTGCCCTGCATAGAGCTTCCTAAATTGCATGGGAATGCTCTAGAATGGCATGCATGAGTTTCACATGGAGCATATAGATCAAGCGTCTGACGATATGTCACATGTGGGTGTGGCATTCTCTGAGCAGATGATGCATATTAAAGGTGTAGTTCTGCAAACAGCGTGTGTGCTCGTTGCAGGTGAGCCAGGTCTTGTAAAGGCAATTCTGTTGTTTGATTCTGGGTCTGTTCATTCATATCTGACTAGCGCATTGCACGGTAGCCCAACATCGTAATGTATTTGAGATTACGGCTAGGTGTGCACTTACGCAAGGATGTCCCAGTGGCATATTCGCTGCAGTGGAAGTGCCTGCAATTTGTGCGTCACTTCAGCGTCCTAGGATTTCATTACGCTCACTTAGCAAGTTAGGTAATTTACCCCTCGCTGACATCTATTTCGATAATGAGATGGTCTCGGTAGATGTTTCAATAGGTATGGAGCACTACTGGGATCTGCTACAGGACAGGCTGAAACGTTTGCCCTAGGGTCCAGTTCTTCTTCAAACCTTATTTGGTCGGGTTCTGTCTTGTAGGCAGCCGGGAGTCATTGGTTGCTCAGAACCACTGTTGCTATTTTGTATTGATAATATTATCGAGCCTGCTCTTCGGAACTTCGAAACGCCAAAGAACGAGTATACTGCAAATGCTTTGTTGTCTTCCCGAGTGCAGTAACATAGGCAGGCATACCTGGCTAAGAGACCATGTGCAGCCCCAAAAGTGGTTCCACATAATTTGACTTGATCACTGGAAGCCGAAGAAGAATGTTGTTGTGTGCGCTTCAGATTTTGAACTTCACTGTTACACTAAAAGAACCTCAATTTGATAGTGAATAATTATAGTATTCAGTGTATATTCAGAAGTAAATCTTTGACTAGAAATGTTTTATAAGCTCATTACATTGGAAATAATTACTCTTACTTGGAAATTAATCGAACCAAACCGTATTTTGTTTTGCAGAAATAACAACATTAAGGAAAGCCACTGAGTACTGATCAGTTTTGCTGCAATGTCTTATCCAAATCCATATGGCCAGGTATGGAAAAAAAAGAAGTATATTGTGTCACAGGAACAACCAGTAACATTTACCATTAGTTGCTTACCGGTGATTTAATTGTAAAATATATTTGTATGTGACATATTAGTAACTTTGTTATTCAGCAGCCCGCCTATCCTCCGGGAGGAGGTGGGGGATATCCACCTCAGCCAGGATATCCTCCTGCTCAGTCAGGCTATCCTCCCCAGGTACCATACCCACCCCAGCAAAGCTATCCCCCAGGTGGCGGGCCAGGGTATCCTCCACAGCAACCAGGTAAGTTAGTTCTTTGAGTTTAATACTCACCTAGTAAGCATACACTAACCTTTGTAGAATATGCTATTGCAAGTTACTGTGTCGATATGGCACATGCATTTTTAATTAAATAATACTGCCCTTGTGCTTGTGTCAGATTCTGCCTGGTGATGTTTACCTTTACATTCGTATTTTAACCAATGCTATTTTTTAATGTCTGCTACAGTGCTATCTAGTTTCTTATCTTATCTAGACGCATCCGTTTATAGATTATCTTGTGGTATATATAAATTGCATGTGCTGCTCAATTCTCTCACTCTGTTTCCTCTTATATAGCATATCCTCCTGCAGGTGGAGGGTATCCTCCACCTACTGGCGGCCCACCTGCTAGTAAGCTATCATTTTATTCTGTCTTGTGGGTCAGTTTAAAGAGATGTATATATGTGTATCTAACAGGTAGTTTGATTTAGTTTACTCATGTGGCAGAAAGTCTATTGTCCATTTCATACCTGTAATGTATTGAAAAGAATACACTTGAGACATTTTCAAATCCCTCGTCTTGTTTTACATTATACTCAGTAACTCAGGGATGAGGATTTTCCTCTGATCCGAGAAATTTCTCGGGTTTGGCAGTTCCTGGGGTCGTTTTTGTGAAATGTCCAAATTCGATGAGGAAATTTTAGGGAGTAAAAAGTTAAGAATTTAAAATCTGTATTTCAACTGTCAACGGTACCTTTATTCACTAAGATTCTTCTATGTACAAAGCACTGTATTCACTTGTGTTTATATATATAGTGGTGCACCGGAACTTGGATCTGGCCGGAACTATCCGGCCGGATTTCCAATTTCTCAGAGTTCCGGTTCTGGCCAGAACCCTTCAGAAACAGGAACCGGAACCGGAACTTTTTCCTAATTTCATTTCTGTTACAAAAGTTATAAAGATCAAAAGATCAGTCACTGAATGTAGTTGAGAGTCAATAGCGTCAACTTGTTGACAATATGGAATTAACAACTGCACACTATTCCGCCCAAAAAACGCTTGCCACTTGAACATTGGCTAACTAACTGAACTGAACCTAACTGATGTTAGGTGATTCCTAAGATTTTCATCAAAAACAAATACTCTTAGAACCACAGGAATTGCATCTGTCTGTTAGTTGAAAATAATAGACTAAACCAGGGATACTGCAACATGCAGGTTTTGCCACATAATTCGCTCGCGAATAAGATGCCAGAATTATGCAAATTATGCACTGTAAGCAGCGCTGATAGGGTCTATGTCCCCCAGGGTACGTTCCGGCATACCGGCATACCGGAACGTACCCTGGTCACTATTTGATATGGTTAGGGTTAGGATTAGGGTTAGGGTTAGGATTAGGGTTAGGGTTAGGTTTAGGGTTAGGGTTAGGGAGTAGGCGTAGGCGACTCCCTAGACTCGTTAGTGGAGTAGGCGAGGTACGGTCCGGCATATTAGATAGTACCAGGGTACGTTTCGGTATACCGGACCGTACCCAGGGTACGTTCCGGCAGTACCCCGGGGGACATAGACCCTCTCAGCATAAGCAGCTGATTCATACACCTAACACCCATCCTGAAATTAGAACTTTGAGCATTGTCCTACGTGCCTGAGTGATGTACATGCCTGCTAATGATATTTCATTCAGGCCGAGTGAGTTTGCACAATACTGGGTCAAAACTGTCAAGTTTATTCCCAGCTAAAGTTCCGGTTCCGGCCAGGTAGTTCCGGCTGGTTCCGGTTCCGGCCGGAACTTAAAAAGTTGGATCCGGTGCACCCCTATTTATATATGTTCCGTCGTAATCTTATATATGTTCGCATGATTTGACAAAACCCGTGTTATCATAACGATCGGTGTGGTAAGAAATCGCTAAGCTGTATGTAATATGAAACTGATAACTAGCAGTTCTGCCATTCTTACGCACATTGCTATTAGTTAAAGTGGATACCTATAGCCAATCAGCGGTGAGCTCATTTAGACATTAGTTTATAGCGGGTTTGCCATCTTTACACGTCACCCTCCTTTTTTTGCTGTCCCCCTCCCCCGACTTGTGATTTTTTTCTAAAAATGAAATTCTTTATTCTCATTTCTGTGTACTGTAGTTTTGCATGCCAAAAATGTATTTTCAGTCTTCCATTACTGTGTGCATCACACTAAATTTGGGCTACATGTCTCGTGATGAAATTTTAGGTGGCTATCCTCCACAACCAGGATATCCTCAACAACAGGGTGGATACCCAGCTGCACAACCTCAATATCCACAGTCGGGTAAGTGGAATTTCAGATCATGTAGCTAGGGATCTATGTACTTACACTTTCACAACTTAATGGTACAGGATTTCAGCATGCCAGGATTTCATGCAATGCTGTGTTATGTCTTATTCACTTGATGGTAGTCGATATTGATAAATGAGGTTTACGCACTGGTCTTGAAATGAATTCAGTCAGTATTTAGCCCACTTTGGCCTGAGAGGGCTTGCAATTAACTGATTATGTATTGATCAGTTGATCTTGAATTGATGTAACCACGTACATTATATGATCCTCATGTAACCATCTACCGTAACCACAGGATTTCTTATCACACACCTATCATATCCAAATGTCTCAAATTCATCTAGTTGATTGATACATGGTATACTGTCACATACATCCAATTACCCTTAACCAACAATAAATTTCTGTAAGCTTGTTAGGATGAAAACATGCTTTAAAAATACAATTAGAGATAGGTAACATCAGGATTGAATAGAAATGTTGTTGTTTTTATTCTCTCTTAGTAACATGGTAATATTACATACACATACTATTATGCATATATTCTTCAATATGTAAAGTTGGTAAACTGATCTTTACACTAACACTTGTAATTCATGGCTCTGTACACACTTTCATTATTTTACGTGTCTAATTTGTTGCTTTTGTTTTCATTAGTTTGTCATACTAGTGCATAATTGATAGTATGCAAATGTTTCATCATATTTGCAATAATAATTAGACACGACATTTGTTACATTGTTTTTATTATTGTTACTATTTTTATATATTTTAAATGTTTATTTCATTCCTGTTTGAAATGTAATGTCCGTTTTAGTATGGTTCACCTTACTATTTAGAATAAAAGTTCATGTATAACTGTTAATAAATATAATAATTTTTTTAGGAAAACAATAGTTTCGTTGATAGTCATGTTATAACATGGTTCAAAATTATTTGCTTTGCTGTTGGGCATGTTTTCTCGAAACCAAGTCGTAGCATATTTTAAGCTATACCGGTATGAAAAGTGTATTGATTACTTTAGTAATAGTGCAATTTATGTATAATTTACGTGTGAGGTGCCTTTATTCTGTCGACCAATACTGAAGTATACTTTATGTGCGTGCATTTACGCCTGTACATATTTTCACTTTTAATGCAGGAGGCTATGCAGGTGGCCCCTCGGGGTACCCACCTCAGCAAACTGCTGGCTACCCTGCACAGGCAGTACCAGGCTACCCCGCACAGCCAGCAGCAGGCTACCCTGGTCATCAGCCTGCAGCCTACCCTTCACAACCAGCTGCAGGCTACCCTGGACAACAAAGTGGAGGCTACCCTGGACAACCACCTGCAGGCTACCCTGCTCAGCAAAGTGGAGGCTACCCTGCTCAGGGTCAGCAAACTGTTCAACATGGTTCCCCAGCTCAGGTACATTTAAATATAAAGTCAGCAACCCACCTGCTATTCGTTGTGGCTTGCTATGGTAGTATACATATATATAACTGCAGTAGTTGTGCATCGAATAATGTCCAGTGTGTTACACTCTCAGGCTAAGATGTCACTGTTTGCACAATATCATGCATATTTGATACTGTACAAGGGGAAATGGCACATCACCATGTGTGCAGCTATGCTGCTCTTTGACCAAGATGTAATTGTATGGTGTCACTGGTTTAAAAAGGGGGAAAAGTATAGTAATGAGTAATTCTCTGGTATTGCGAACAATTGGACATGACACCAACACATTTATTTGTGAAGTTATGATAGTTTTTGTGATATCCATTGCTCCGTGGTCGCTTTGCAGTCATGTGTAGCCCTTGCACACAATTTCCTCACACTGGTGATTGCTTCTGTGTGCCCACCATTGGCTTGATCATGTTATAGTAGTATAGGCATTAGCAAACAACACTATGGTGCACAAGCAGTGCTAGTGGCTAAAGTTACATACTAGTTATCAAATATAGTAAAGAGCATCTTATAGTCATGTACACTCATGTTGATCGACTAAGGTAGCACCCAAGCAGCCAAGCTTATTCACCTGTTCAATGACGGATGGTATTGATTCTTCCGGGGTTTAGTTATGAAATATCTTCAGAATCTTCCTTCATTGAATAATGCTGAGCTGGGCTCTGTCAGCCTAAGCTCTAAAGCACAAAAACGTTTGGCGCTACGTCTGTATGTCGGCGTGCGCCGTCCTTCCATCAATGTCTTAAGGATGTCATGTACATCATTCATCTTAGGAGTGGGTATACTTTATGATGGTCAGGGAGGGTATGATCTGGCCCAGTGGTGTACAGTCAAAACTGGAGGTCAATGTGCAAATGAGAGAGAAGGGGAATTTGTGATTGCATTTGATTCCACTAAAGTAGATGATTTGGTTGATCGATCGGCTAATACGACGGAGAGAGTGAATGTGGATATGTCCGTCCGGAAGCAATATCGGCATAAGTCTAAATGCCTTGCATGGGTTGCTGCAAACAGATGAACAGACTGCAGCTGAGCACAGTTGTTTTGCAGCACTAGTTGTAACATAAATAGATAATTTAAATCATGCTGTTACAGGGTGCCTCAACAGTGACTACAGGCATGGGAAAGCTGAACATTGGCAGTGGTGAGGTGTCACATGGAACGGTCGTTGCTATAAAACCGTTTGATTCAGAAAATGATGCCGAGATACTGCGCAAAGCAATGAAAGGATTTGGTATGCTTTTAAATGAATGATTTCGAAATCATTGCTTAAAAATGCAAAAAAATAAAAATGTAGCGAGATATAGTCTGATCTAATAGCCGATGTTACTGATTACTTCAACTTAGAAACACAACAATCAACTTTTAATACTTAATTCACTGTCTCTTGTGGGGTTTATGGAAACATCGATTTCTAGACACATTTCATGATTAGGCTCGCAAACTACATGCATTTATTTACATGTACGTAAATTAATGCTCAGCTGTAAAAGATTTAAATTCGGTATTATGTATCCAAAAATGATAATTAATTTTCTGTATTCTTATTGTGACGCAGGCACGGATGAAAAGGCCATCATAGATGTTATTACTAAGCGATCAAATTTGCAAAGGCAAGAGATTAAGAAGAAATTCAAAACGATGTATGGAAAGGTGAGTAAATGTGCTCCATGATACATAAGCTACGATGATCAAAAAACTGCTGCCCAGCAGGCATTGTACCTGTAATTTGGCTGTTAATGTTTGACAAATGCACTAAAAACTGATAACTTTTGGATAACAGCTGTAAAGAAACAGTAGAAAACTGAGTACGATGACTAAGGTATTGCGAAAACTTAAACTTTATTCTCACTAACTAGCACTTACGAGTACCGTATATGATCGCGTAATAACCGCAGGTGCCTATAAGCCGCACCTCAATTTGAATCGGGTAACCAAGTATTGCGCCTAGTATATTTCCCCTCACGGTATGGCGCACTTATAAACCGCAGAGCAAATACAGGGTTGAAATCTGAGGCCAAATTTGCGGTTATTACGCGTATTTTTGAGTATATACGGTATATGCACATTTTTCTACTGTGTCATCAAAGATATAAGTTGTCCCAGGGGCATTCAACATCATAAAACTGAAAAATCATCATAATGTCTATGATTTCGTAGGATCTGATTAAGGATTTGGAGTCAGAACTAAGTGGGAACCTGAAAGAGCTCATAATGGCCATGTTCACTCCAACGACGTACTATGATGCTTGGTCATTACATGAGGCTATGGAGGTATATAGTTGAGCTTTTATTAGCGTCTAAATCATTAGTTTCTCTTATTAATAATCTTGAATGTAACAGTTAGTGTATGTAAACAGTTTACTGTGCATACAGTGTTAATGTATATTGTTAAGGAAAGTTTCAAGTTGAAATCTAAATTGAGAATGTGGGTTGCTGCTGAGTATTACAAGGGAGGATCTTTGGAACTAGGCATATTTTCTTGGTGTTGTACATTTTATAGTGACATATTTGTGATATTACTTTTTCAGGGTGCTGGAACAAAAGAGTCTGTGTTGATTGAGATCTTATTCACTCGGACAAATGCCGAGATCATCGAAATAGTGAAGTGTTATAAAGAGCACTTTCGTCGTGACCTTGAGAAAGATGTCAAATCTGAAACAAGCGGGCATTTTAAGCGGCTTCTTGTTTCATCATTACAAGTAAGAATATTTATACAATGTTTTGAAATACCTTTTGTTAGTAAAGAAATAATACGTGCAAACAGAATTCAGAAGTGAAAGAAAAAAACCAAACCAAATAATTCCTGATAAAAATATTCCATGAGAATACTTGTCACTGTATGAGAGTGCTATTAGCTCTGTCCTAATTAATTCATCAAGCACATATGCTATATCACTTCTCTGCTCTCTATGGGGCTATTCATAGATACTGAAGTCATCTATTGTTAGGTAAATATTTGCTGCGATTCCCCTTTAACTGATAATGGTTTGTTCACTTTTAGGGAAATAGGGATGAGTTAAATGCATCACAGGCACAAGCTTTGGCTATGAGCGGATGGCAGGGGGTGGTTGACCGTGAAAAGGCTGCAAAAGAGGCAAAGGAGCTCTATTCAGCAGGCGAGAAGAAGTGGGGGACAGATGAGTCAACATTCAATAAGATCTTGTCACTCAGGCACTGTTACCAACTGCGTGCAACATTTGATGAGTACCAAAAAGTAAGAATAGACTTATATTTAGCCATACTCTGTTCTAAAGATTTCTTAATATATATTTCTAGATGAATATGAATAGAGTAATTAGTCAGACATAAGCTGCGTTAACACGTGTAACAGCGATAACAATGGAAAATATATGGGATAATGTGTAATATGCTAATATAAAATAGTTTGTAAATAGTGACTGACTGCAAAATCTCAGCGGCTACTAATGATGGTGTCCATAATTATTGTTGCTGATGTTTAAATAATGATGTTGCAAGTAAATTTGCTGGTATTGAAAACACATTTGACCTCAAACTCCTGCAAGTAGTTGCTCATCATTAAGTATAATTTATTGAAACCTTCAATTTTTATTATGAATTTCAATTTTTTATTGGTATGTCTCTAATTTCAGTTTATCAGAGATGTGTGTGCATTCGTTGCACTATAGTTTTATTCGTCGGTGAATAAACGATTTCGTAAAATGACCAGAAAGAACAGACATTTTCATGCGTAGATTTGTAAGATGTTGGCTCTTCAACTTGTGTCATGAGCAATTCATCTTCACTGTAGATTGCAGGACGTGATATCACAGCATCCATCAAAAGAGAGTTTTCTGGTGATGTCGAAGATGGAATGCTTGCTATAGGTATTAGATCAGTATTGGCTGTTTTCTATAAATTGAGAACAGAACTCACTGTTATAAACAACAGTAATATAAAACTAATATAATATAAATTCATACATATTTATAATAACTAAAAACTATCACGTATTACATTTTGTATTGTGATTCAACATATTAACATTATCGCTTTGTATTGTACTTGTATTGTACTTTGTATATTAGTGTATTTATACTGGTTGCTATGGGGCTTTTCACATTGTTAAATGCAAAACTTAATTTATTTTCAGTTGAATGTGCTAGAAACAGGGCGCAGTATTTCACCACAAGGCTGTATAAGGCGATGAAAGGGCTTGGAACAGATGACACAACATTGATTCGTGTCATCGTATCACGATCCGAGGTTCATACTATTCTGCTTGTTCTTAGGCCTAGGGCTTGCTATTCAAAGGGTTTCTATTCATTGCAAATGTAGTGTTTATGTTTGGTTTTTTAACATCGATTTCACTGAGCTATATAACAGTAGTTTTATTTTTGTTCCTTTTTCATTTAATTTCAGATCGATATGGTGGATATAAAAAAGTGTTTCTTTCCCACCTACCAGAAGACACTCTCTAAAATGGTTTCATCAGAAACTAGTGGTGACTACAAACGTCTCCTTGATGGCCTTATTGGAGGTGAATAACCAGTATTTTTTCATTACAGTTCAGAGAATGAAAAAATGTTGGTATGATAATTAAAATGAAAAAAAGTTATTGTATTATGTAGATTCCTTCCGCTCACAATCAGGGTATTGCTATGCTCACGTACATTAACACCGTGTTATGAAATTAATGTGTTCCAAAAATTGTTTGTAAGGTAAATTTCCACATTGTGTACCCTGTTTTTCCAGTTTCTATTATATAATTAAAGGGATACTACACCTTAGAATTTTATGGCATATTATGATAGTAAGTGCCTAAATAATAGTATATACCTACACATTTCTATAATCATGCATTCACATTTGTTATAAACCAACAATGAGTTTCTAAATCTTGAGTTTTGGCTGCTGACATGACACCGTGCAATTGTGTTGCCACCCTGATGAAGTTGCACTTTTTCCCGATTTATTTGGCTTGTTACAGACCGAGAGCTAATCACAAAAGTGCAATTATATTTAGAGCTAACTGCTATTTAACCGAACGATTTTTATTTTAGGACAAATTCGTCCAAATTTTAACTAAATCTAAAAGTTGTTCATAAGATATTGCAATCTTTCTCCTCTTAAATTAATAAAAAAGAAACACGTACTCGGTTTGTCACCTGCAGCCGAAGAGTTGCGATGTGCAACTTTGAAAGTAGAGGGGCTAGTAAGTAGTGCCACCGTCGTGTGAATTGGAATAGTTCGATAGTAAAACACATTGCTTCAGATATGTTACAAAGCTGTTTGAATGGAAGCTAAGGTTCACTTCTAATTCGAATACGCCTATACTGCTATTGTGTTATTATTCAATGTGAGAGTATGTAACACTTTTACATACATGCCTTATATTTGTTATGTAGTATTAACATCGGTATAGCAGTCTGCTATTGTAAAATGTTGCTATAACCCACGTATGAATGAGTTTCTGTTTGGTAGAGGAAGCAGTGAATTTTATAAGCAAGATTTGTACTTGCTTTTGAATAGACGGTCATGTTTCAACTTTTGAGAAATGTTCAAATGGTTGCCTTGTAACTGCGGTAGTCTATTTTGTGTAATCTTGATTAGGGGACACGGTAATAACATTTTGTAAACCATAACTGTTCAAAGGTTCATAGTCTAATTTAAGATTATATCATTGATAACTGTTAATCTGTAATAATTAAATGTGCAAAGTTCATAAATAGTAACCTAACCAATATTCGCACAGTACATTGTACAGATATGTTCATGATATTATGTACCCCCTCGCTTTGCTCCAGGCAAGACCAGTCTTATAAATATAAATGGTAAATATAAAATTGATAGAGCCACCCTTCATCACGAATAGCACAATTATGCATAAATTTTCAATTATATATCAGCAAATGAAATGTGTGCACAATCGCAGTGTATTTATAGAATACGTGATCATGTCAAGAGCTAACATAATACCTAGGTATACCTGGGTATTGTTAGCTTGTTCATATATATATATATATATATATATATATATATATATATATATGTATATATATATATATATATGTATATATATATATATATGTATTATATATATAGTCTGTTAAAATTGACAAGTTAAATTTCCGAATTGGCTTATTTAGAATTTTTGTGATACTAGATAATTTAAAACATAATTAAACAATTAGATAAGATATATATATAAATTAATGTAAAAAAATTGATATATATATACAGTATATATAGTATATTATATTATATATATACATATACTAGTACGTATACATATAAATACGATACATTATATATATATATATTTGCTAGATGTTCATCGAAGGTAGTGTACACGTTATTTTATAATAGCACACTCGACCTAATCAAAATCACAGGGATTTGATGATTGCATTCGTATGCATGTACAAGATTTTGTGAAACACATTGCATGGAAGTAATAGGGAAATATGAATCGTAAAATATAGAATATGAGTATGTTAATTTTTTTCGGTTGTCTTTAATCAATGCTTTAAGAAAAGTGGCTACTGTATGGAAAACTGATGCTAAAATTGTGTGGCATTGCATATTTTGCACCGCAGTATGATCTTGAAATGCAGCTGAAATATTCATTAAAATATCGCTATAAAGTAGTTATTATGATATTTTTTATTTTTATTTCCATATTTAACGTAACCGCGGCATGACAGTACTGGAAGACAGTAACCTACTATTAACCATATCTTCGTATGTATTACATTGTACAGTATATTTCTACCAGCAGAGGAATTAAAATTAAACTTCACTAGTTCAGTAACTTGTCTGGCTTGTCGATGTATTCTCCAATTTCTATATTTAATCTAGCTAAACGACAACCGCTAACACGCGATTCTTTCCACCTAATTTCGGATATTTCACAGTTCTTGTCTTGGAATGGAGTGCTGGTATTTGACATCAGCATGTTTGGTTTTTTTTGATTTCCTTTTCATGTAGCATATATAGAGTCCAATGCCAATAGCCAGTATTGCTAGCACTCCACCAATGATCATACCAGTCTTGCTGGCCGCGCTTGCCTGTTGAATACTTTCGCGGTAGCGTACATTTTCGCTTTCCTGCATACCATTTGCCGTATTATTGACGGAACACGTGAATATTCCTCCGTCTGCCAACTTTGATGCGTTTACGGTGATGCTGCTTATTCGTCCTGCCGCATGATACTCGATTAACCCCAGTACACTCTCGCCGTTGTATGACCATTCGAACGTAAGTGCAGTAAACGGATACGTGCTTTCGGCGTCACAGATGACGTTCACGTAACCCGTAGCGGCATCCACCGGCTTGAGAATCACGGAAATCGACGACGTGGTCGGGCCGGCGCAGACAAGCAGGGTGGTGTCTGAGACGACAGGTTCGTGGCTGGCCGCGTTACTCGCACGGCACTCGTACCGGGCTCCGTGCTGTCCGACCGTCGCTTCGATTCCATCCAGCCGCTGCTCGGCTCGGTACAGTAACGTCGTCGTGTTTCGCTTTTGGGAAACCAACGTCGAGTTTATCCCAGCGGCATTACAGAACCATAGCAGTGATATTGGTTGGAAGCCACCCTCTGATGTGCACGTAAGGCTTATTTTCTCCCCAATGTTCACGCATGAAGCCGCATCGTAGCCAGTAATAACGGGCTTGCCAGGGGGCATGGTTTTGCTGAACTGGCATCGTTTACCAAGGAATTTCTCATCACAATCGCAAAATGCTCCGCTTTCTGTGTCTGTACATACTCCTCCGTTTTTACACGTTGTGTCGGTGCACTTCGGCGCGTCGCATGTCATTGAAGTCGACGTGAAATCTGTGTCGCATGTACACTCGCCGGTGAAGTCTTCCCACTTTCCATCTACGTGACAGATCCTCGTTAGCGGTATTTGTGAGGTAGCATCTTCGACACATGTTCCGGTGTGAGGGCTGCTTGACGGCATCGAGTCGTTGAATACGGCTAGATTTGTGAGCGTGCGTCCGCAATACTTGTAGAATACGTTCATCTCCGTGATTGTCACCCGCGTACCTTTGTCAACGAATGCCAGGTAGACTCCCGACGTACTCGACGTCCAATTAGGGACTTCTACGTCTTCAATGTCTGCTAGGGCTAATTCCTCGTATTTTGTAGGTACGACTTCGGCGACGACGTTGAAAGCGCTTAACGCGTTAATTACGTTATCCATGGGTGTTGTTACCGACAGTACTGATACCTGTAAGCTGACTCTGCAGTTCGCGATGCTGAGCTCCGGATCAGCGTAGTCGCAGAATTTGAAATTGACATAGCCGCGGATGCCTATTGCTGTCGCTCCTTGGAGAGGAATGTACGGTGATATCAGCCAGTTTTCCTGTGCTGTGCTTGCGCCTTGGCTGTCAGAGGAAAATGAGGTAGGGTTGATTTGCCACGTCGTGCCGTCACTGTCCGCATCGTGTGATGTCCAATTACTTGCTGTCCCTACAGATGATAGAAGAGTGTCCATATCAGCTACTACGCAAACGTCTGCGATGCATGCCATCAGCAACAGGCCAAGTATTGCGCCTATGCTCCTTGTTGTCAACGGTTCCATTGCACACGTGGTGTTTTCGCCGTTTAGCGCGCAGCTGGTGACAAACACAACCTCTACTCAGGAGTGTCACCGGTGACTATCGCGAAGCATACAAGGATCTATTTATTTGTTCACCCATCGGCACAGGTATGTGCAAGCAGACAGTAATGAGGGCGGCTATGTAAACCCACGGGTGGCGTAGTACATATATGTACTGCTATTTGGCCGATTAGTACTGTACGTTAAACTTATACACAACCTTTGAATACTTGACCTCCTTCACATACTGCTTTGTATAGACATATAGACATACTGCTTCGTGTGTACCATAGTGATACTGTGTAATGATATTTTAAAGCAGTGAAGTTATATATTTTTTTGGCATTTGACTAAATGCGGCTTAGGTTATTTTAACAGCAATCATCTGCAACGGAATGTATTACTTTATTCAGGCACGTTTGACTATCATGAATCGCATAGGGGCGGGCGGGCGGGCATCATCGATCGATCGATCAATAAATAGATAGATAGATAGATAGATGGATGGGTTTATGAATCGATCGATGGACGGACGGACGGACGGACGGGCGATCGAACGGACGGACGGATAGATAGATAGATAAATAAGTTAGTTATTCAGCGTCATCATGTAATTTTCACATACAGACATGTACAAATCTGCGATAGATTAGGGCCAAGGGCGGTTAGGGCTGAAGGGGCAGTTATTTTGAGTGAGTGTTTTTGATGTGTACCCTATCTTCCAACATTCTATACTATAAGATTTCGTTTCCCCGTTGCCTGTGTGCGTGTGCGTGCGTGAACGCGTGCGTGCGTGCGTGACCGTGTGTGTGTGTACTTGCGTGTGTACGATGGTGCGCTACCTCGTGACACCAAATTCAGCCCAGCATCCTAACTCCTTAACTCATCCTAACTCATTCCGCTAATGAGCAACCGGCCCGATTACAACTATACTCGTCATACGTACACTGCGCGCTCCCGTGATTAGGCTAGAATAATCCTTATTAATAATGTTTCTAAAGTCCGGCGCACACGTGAGTAATTTTACTCAACTAAAATGATGCATGCGTCAAAATACTCACGTGTGCGCCGGATTTTCGTTGAGTTTTCTGACGCATGCATTTCTGGTACTCATAGCGCATGCGGTTAAATCATTGTGCGCCCAGTATTGGCTGCGCACAGTCACGTGATCTGCATTACCACTAATAGTCTTGTACCTTGAGTAATTTTACTCACGTGTGCGGCGAACGCTGAAAATATTTCGCGTGAGTATTTTGACGCATGCATCATTTTGCTTGAGTAAAATTACTCACGCGAGCGCCGGGCTTAAACGTTTTAAAACATTGCTCAGCAAAACTTTGGTTGCTAGAGGTTGCTAGGCGCCAGTTAACGGTAGGGCGGGCAGATGTGATGCTTGGCAGCGACTGAAATACACGGACAAGCGGCTATTACCGCCCGTACTCAGGCAACGCTACGGAGGCTTGACACATGCAGCAGGGCAAAAATTGTTTTAATAATTAAATTTAATTTCACGGAAAAAATAACCGAACGTAATATTTTCAGGTAACGTGTATTAAACACTACCCATTTATTCCATCCGTGAGCGAGTTGTCTCATTACATACACTTCTCATTGCATAGTACACATGGCCGCAGGCTGAGCAAATTACTAGGGGGGGGGAGGCAAAATTTAATGACTAAACTGTGTAATGATGAGCGACGGGCGCAGCTCTTGATCGACGTCCATAGTGTGGTAAGGGTGGGTCTGAGACAAGGCTTTCCCGGATAAGTGACCAAAAACATCACGTTAGGGTTATTTACGATTGTTAGCTAAGCTTATTTTTTAATTGTGCTCCAAAATCTAAAGGGGGGGCAGCTGTCCCCCTTTCCCCCAGATGCTATGGCCCTGTTACATAGGGCCGCAAATGAATTGTGGTCTTAGTGGAAGAGCGTACAGTTTAAGGCTTCCGTGGGCATGCACCGTGTTATTGTTTAGTAATCGATAAACATTCCGTCTCCTAGGTCAAAATAACTAGAAAAGTAGTGGTACCATTTGTTTTTTTACCTTTTAAGTGTGATATGACGTGATAAATTAACCCCGCCTAATTTACATAGTCATGCATATATAGTGATTTGAATCGTCACAACATGTGCTAATATTGACATTAAATCAGCTGTTTTAAGTCTAGAGTACAAATAAAGAAATTTTACTGTCTAGCTTATAGAAAATATGTAGTGAAGTCATAAACATTTACCTCGTGTTTACATTAAGTTGATTACTCAGAGAGTATATCTTACTAGCGTTGTCACAATATATATATATATATGCCAACATGGGTATCAAATTAAAGCCATTGGAAAGTGGAGTATAAATATATAAATTATATTATATGTTTATGTAAAAATGCATGGTGATTGTAGCTTGGTCTAGGTTGGAGATGAATCCGAATGAGGACATTGTACATGATGTACCTACACAAACAAATATATAGGTGCGCACGTGTGTACGCACGTCCGTGCGTGCGCTGAGTAAAAAGGGGACGAGCAGAGGCAGTAAAGCGTACTAGCCAGTGGCGTAGACAGGTCCTCAGTTGTGGGGGGGATAATTTCGCTGTTACTTCCATGGCATATGAAGAGTGTGCGCGTAGCGCACACCGGGAGCGCCTTGGCGCAAAGCCCTTAATGGGTAGGGTCCAGGGGCCTGCCCTAGGGCCCTGTCAGGGTGCAGGGGGCAGAGCCCTTGCCCGGGGTCCAGGAAGCGGAGCCTCCGGAAGCTCTTGAATTTTAGCAATTTAGAACCTTCAAGATGGCCGTTTTTGAGGGAATTGAAAAAAATTTATATTGTAAGTGCAATTTTATGAATTTTAGGGTAATTTTTTTCTTTGGATCCCAGAGGTTTAAAAACACGCACCCCCCCCCCACACACACAACCAGTGGCGGATCCAGAAGAAAATTCTAGGGGTGGCGAATCATGCGAGCTCAAGGGCACGAAGCGCCCGGGGGGGGGTGTCACCCTCCCATTCTGTACGTGGAATTGTTGAAAAGTTGCAATCTAAAAGCACTCAATTTTGGACATCTCTATCATAGAATATCAGTGTTTTTTCCTCCTTCAGGGCGTGTCCCCTCCTGTTTAAGGGGGGGGGGTCCGAGGATTTTATTGAAAGTAACACCTCTTCGATGCAATTTCCTGCACTATGAGGCAGCACTATTAAACAATCTTCATCACAATAACATCACTGACCATCACTGTTGAATTGAGTATTTTTACCTTTGGGTACACCAGACTAAAATACTTACTACCAAATCTGTGCTATGTACATGTTCTCACTGGGGTTACCAGTGCAGACTTACCTAGGCTAAAATACCTTAATTGCCCTGAAAATTCTAGGGGGGGGGCGACCGCCCCGTGCTACCGACACCCCGTTGACAACTACAGCACTGGAATCATCTTCCCTGAAATTTTGATAAAACGTATATTTTACCGAGAACGTTAAAACTGCAAAAAAAATATGAGAAAAACAACCAGATTTGAACAAAAAAGTGCATTTTTTCACCCCTTATACAAAATCAGGAATATACTTCCGGTCGGGTCTCAGCACCCCCATCCCCCCCCCCAAAAGTGAGATAAAATAGAATTTTCCCATTCAATCCCCGTGAAGATTCAACATCCCAACTCTCAATAGGTCTATTATAATTTTGAATAAAGCAAGGATTTAACTTTCGTGAGCAGTGATAAGACTTTGGGAATTTTTCAAAAAAAAATCGTATATGCATGGGGAACCCGTCCAAAATTAACCGTCTGAATTTCAGTAAAATAATGTAATTCTTGGAACGAGTTACAGCCATTTTACAGTAGATGTATGTCACGTTCCATTTCTGTAATAATATATTAGGAGAGTATGAATAGCGATGACGGATTTGTAGATAAATATCCAGTATTTATTGTCTGTAAAATATAAATTTTTTCCCCATTTTCTTCTTGAAAGTAGGGGGGATGAAAGCCACTCAATAAGTGTGGGGGGATATACCCCCATCCCCCCGCTATCTACGCCCCTGTCAGATAAACTCAAATTTGACTTTTGATATGCATACAAATATTCATAATCATAATCTTTGTTAGCAGTACTCTACAGGCGCCGCGGAACAATTTTTGAAGTGGGGTGCTCAATTTGTTACGCTCGACAGTGGCCAATGCAGGTTTTCGAGGAGGGTGTAAGAAACAGGCGGTGGTATATGCGGGTCCTCCCCCAGAAAATTTTGAATCCCCCATTTTCCTCCTGTAAGTAGGGGGGGGGGTGATTTTACACGCCATCCCCCCCACGTCAATAAGTGGGGGGGATGCATCCCCCCCATCCCCCCCGCTATCTACGCCCCTGGTACTAGCCAAAGTAGTAAAGAACGTAGTACCACAGCAAATAATAACAGTTGATCGCTTGAGCTGCTGTTGCGTCTATAGACTTTGCAAATTTATTAAGCTATTGTAAACCGCGTTTATATCTATGTGAATGATTGCCGACCCATATAGTACAGATAAAGAGTGTACTGACCGATAGGCAATACCGAGTTACGACCATATATATATATATATTATATATATATATATATGG